ATATATATATAATATATAATATATATAATAATATATTAATATTTGAAGCATCAGTCAGTATTTTGGTCAATACCCGGGCCAACTTGCTCTCACGGAGAATGTCCTAAACGACGTAAGTGTTACTAGTTCCTTCCGAGGTGAACTTCTCACTGACTGCTAAGCCGCATCACAAAAAAATACAACAGAACGAATAAATGAATGAAAACGGTAGAAACCGACAAAATATTAATTAATAATGCAAGTATATAATAGGGTATAAAATAGCTTTAGCTGCAGATTAGTTCTTAATGAGAATTTTTCCTCCTTGATGGACATATTGTAATTTTTTTTTTACATTTTTTAATAGAAAAAAATATTCAAGCCAGATGAAAATGGTTTAAAATACTTATACTACCCAATGCACTGGAAAATTTATGACCTAAATATCATTTTTATTTTCGCTAATTTTGTTAAGTATTAACGCACTTTAGCAGCCAATGGGAAGATTTGACTTGTGATTTTTATGTTCACTGAAATAAAGCTTTTAAACAAGTCGAAAGTTTTTAAAAAGCTGGGACCTGAGGAATTTTTTTTTAATGAATTCTTTTAACGAAACGTTTCCTCGTTATAATACCCTGCGCATGTGTCGTTTTTACATTTGTCGATATTTTAAACTATATCGTTCCTACATTTGCGTAAGCTGACCACATAATGCAGTGAAAAAGCTTTCATGTATACGACGTTTCGCCCACAGTTGGGCTTTCTTAAAGCACCTGTTTCCCCTTTTGTAAATATTTATTACCCTGGCCACCTTCCATAATTACGATATTTTGCAATGATTTAGGAGACTGCCCAGCGTTTTATAAGTTGTAATTCAAAGGCGCTTTAAGCAGGGGGAAAAACCTTCATTTTGATATTACTGTCCACTCAGGGTGATCTCAATGGCAGGCAAAATACTGTAATCGGTCAGAGTTTGATGTAACTGCCGGCAGTTACCTTGAAAAATATTTAATCAATATCTTGGTGCGGTTTTCCCTAGAGAACGAGGTATTCCTGCTTAAGAATATCTCAAGTTACACAGAAAACCCGTAGATACAATGGAGAAAAACTTTTGACGACGTTTCGGTCCGATTGAAACGTCGTCATAAGCATTTATATATGTGCGGATTATTTGTGTAATGTTCCAGTCACGGTATTGTGCCTTTTTATTAATCTTTTAAGATATCTGAGCGGTATATAATAAGTGTATACTAACCAAAACAAAATTTTATTTCTACATGACCGTGGGTGTTGCTACTGTTTTGCGCAACAAGAGTTGCTTACCTTATTTCAGGAGAGATGAAGATTATGGAATAAAATCTAAGTAATACAGAGTTACTTTTCCCTTGTATCAAGTCTGATTACTTTATACGACTCTCAGACGGGTTTACCCTTCTCCATAAACAACAATCAGGGAAGGAACTTATCGTAATTGACGTTCTTCAGGCGACAGTATTTGGTCTCGTGCTGTTTATAATTTACATATAAGAGATTAATTAGGAAATAAACAGTTATATAACTTTACCGACATTTGAAACTGATCGATAAATTTTTAGACCACAAAGACTTTAAAGCCTTTGATGTGTGGTCAGGGACGTGGTGTAAGAAAATCGCTGTAATCAGTGGGAAGCATCAGGCACCTTGGGGTCATAGAGCGAATGATAAACATGGAGGAAATCAGGTATGATCCGAAGGAGACGGTACCTCCAATTTATTGGATCAAGAGCTGTTTCACCGTCAAAGCACCCGTCTTTCTTCTTCCCTCCCTTGTAGTTTTTTAGCATCGAAAAATTTATGGTCCTAAATCCGCGGAAAAAGAATAAGCGCGTCATAGACTAATTAGTGAAACGGATTGCGATTTTTTTTAGAATTCTTGTTAGAAGAAAAGTGGATACATATCAACGGTATTATACATCGACAAATATGCTGGTAAGACACTATGTGGCTTAATGTATTTTATTGAAACATTTCGCCCACCAGGGATTTCTCAATAAAATGCCGCATATTGTCTAATTAACATATAAGAAATGGACCAAGAGTTCATATTTATGACACACCTAATAGCTAATACTTTATATCAAACATACAAATAACGCAGATACCTAGATAAAATAACTTATCGGTTATGGTCCCCACTCTAGTAAAGAAAGGTGCTGAAAAACATACGAAGAATGACCGAGGAAAACTGACGCTTCATTCTATGGTTATAGAATAACGGATGAAGTGACTGACATTTGCCAATGAGACAAATAATTGGGAAATAAATGTATTTTAGATGTCAAATTAGGATAGGACTCACACCAGTGTAACGAACGTATATCTGCGTATCAATATACAACTTTCGAATTATTGGCCAAGAGCAAGTTGGTCTTGATAAATGTTGACCCAGATTTATACAGGGAGAGTCATTCCACAACTAGCCTACAAATGGTAGATAAATTAAGGTTTTAATCTGTTTTGGACCATCAAAACTCGACTGATAGTGGTCTAGTTTTATCTCCAATTTATAGGTTATTTGTGAACTGCTTCTGCCTGGGTATTGTGACTCATTCTTCACCTGGACAATATCAACCTTGAAGCTAGAGTGTTGTTAGGCTCGAGGTTGACCTTGGAAGTTACTGACTCAGAAAACACCCGACGATATGACACTGGCTGAATACAAACCTGAACCTCAGTCTCACCCTCTACTCCAGTATAACCTATAGGAACTCCCCGCTTGACTAGTGAAGCTGAGGCCCATATACTGCTAGGAGAGGTCAGTACGGGTCAGTAGCAGCAGCGATGGAGGAGATGGAAGTACCGCTCCGTCGGGAGGCTGGCCAGGAGGCAGGTGATGGAGATTACGAGGAGAATAGCGAGATGAGGACGGGAAGCCTCCCCACCTCCTCCCACTTGCTTTCTCCCGTGCTGCATGGCCGCCGGCTTCTTGCCTGCCGTGAAGAAAAATAATAGGAAAAAAGGGAATATTAATGTGAGGAAGAAGCAATGTTGGACTAATGACGCTTTCTGTTAATACCACAAGCACGTAAAGCAGGGCAAAAATACTCAGAGCAGCCTACCGCTATGTTAGGACTTAAGAGATTGTACTTTTATACCGGGAATAGGTTACAACGACAACACTAACACCAGGAAGGGATTATACAGGAAATGGATTCCACCGGGAAAGGGATTATACAGGAAATGGATTCCAGTGGGAAAGATTATACAGGAAATGGATTCCACTGGGAAAGGGATTATACAGGAAATGGATTCCAGTGGGAAAGAGATTATGCAGGAAATGGATTCCACTGGGAAAGGGATTATACAGGAAATGGATTCCAATGGGAATGGGATTCATCGGGAATGGGTCTGGGAATAAGCTAGCCTTCATGGCTTATACTGACCATGGGTTATACTGGGTTACAATGACCAAAGGTTACACTTATGGGTTACACTGGTTATGAGTTAAATTAGTATTCCAACCGGTTTTTACCAAAGGTAAATATGAGTTTTAACAGAAATCAGTGCATTTTAGCATAAAGTTTTCAATGTATATTGTTAGTGGAACCTGTAATGCACATTGTTAGTGTGCATTGTATAGTGCGAAGTATATTATTAGTTTTATATATTTTATATGTAGTGTTTACTGTCTTGTGAATACTGTGTTAATTACTATATAAGAACATAAGAACATAAGAACGAAGGAACACTGCAGAAGGCCTACTGGCCCATGCGAGGCAGGTCCAAGTCTCCTACCGGCTTAAGCCAATGCACCCAACCTAGTCAGGTCAGGTCAGGTCACATTGACTTAAGGGAGGAACAGGGCAACCGACCTGGTAGCACAAGCTATCAGGTCTGACTCACACCCACCCACATCTACTCATGTATTTATCCAACCTATTTTTAAAGCTACACAACGTTCTGGCCTCTATAACGGTACTTGGGAGTTTGTTCCACTCATCCACAACTCTATTACCAAACCAGTACTTTCCTATATCCTTCCTGAATCTGAATTTTTCCAACTTAAAACCATTGCTGCGAGTCCTGTCTAGGCTAGATATTTTCAGCACACTATTTACATCCCCTTTATTTATTCCTGTCTTCCATTTATACACCTCAATCATATCCCCCCTAATTCTACGTCTTTCCAGAGAGTGCAGATTCAGGGCCCTTAGTCTATCCTCATAGGGAAGGTTTCTGATACATGGGATCAACTTTGTCATCCTCCTTTGTACATTTTCCAGAGAATTTATATCCATTCTGTAATACGGTGACCAAAACTGTGCAGCATAATCTAAATTAGGCCTAACCAAGGATGTATAGAGTTGAAGAACAACCTGAGGACTCCTATTATTTATGCTTCTTGATATGAAGCCAAGGATTCTATTAGCTTTATTGCGAACACTTATGCACTGTTGTCTTGGTTTCAGATTACTGCTAACCAGAACTCCTAAATCTTTTTCGCAATCCGTAATATTAAGATCCACATTATTTAGTTTATATGTGGCATGGTTATTGTCCTGTCCAACATTTAGAACTTTGCATTTGTCTATATTAAACTGCATCTGCCACTTGAGTGTATACTGAATAGCTTAAACACTTAGTGTAGTTTATTTAATTAATGAGTAGTATACATTGTGTATTTTGTATTCTAATGCATATTTATAAATGTTAAGTGTACCTATTATAATATTATGTTGTGTTAGTTCGTAGTGAATATTAGCTTATAATTTCCCCATGATGAAAACAGGTAAGAGGAATATTAATTATTATATAGACATGCTTAACGGCAATTCGCAAACAGGCGAAATTATTTACATGTATAATCAGAATCATATGTAATACCTCGTTTTCAGATAAATAATTTTAATATTAATTCATATATTTGCTTCAATTTTCTTGCAGTACCATGTTAATGGAAGTAATGTGAGGATAGTGTATAAGGATTTACTCTTGTGCCTACCAGACACAAGGAGACTAAAAAAATTTAACCTTGAAGGGAATGCCTTGATGTCGGCGAAGGGCTCTTGATCCAAGGAATTTTAACTAACTTCCACCTCTTCCTTTAAAGCTTTTATCTCAATTTCCCAGGAGCGGTGAATCCCTTCTGGGTTTAAAGCTTCATTATCAGAATAAAATTTCAGCCCCACGAAGAAATTCCTATATAAATCTTTTCTTGTTTCGTTCTCAAATTTCCAAAGACTCTTAATACATCGGTGGTCTCCCTCCAAGGTAAAGCAACTCATAAAAGTAAACACATTCACCATCACTCGGTTGATTTCTTGCCTCCCAAGTGTGCAGATATCACATATGAGATGACCTTGAAGTGCAGTGTGGGCACCGCTCTTCTCCCCTCCAATAATCAAGTCCTGCTAATCCGTTTTATTGAATCCCTTCATGTTAGCTTGCGCACACTCCAACAGCACATCAAATATGTAAAAAAACGCTCGTTTCCCCCAATCTAACACATTCGCAAACTCCTGCTGGAGGCTCGAACCACTACAACCCAAACTCTCCTTCACAACCTCCCTTCAGCCCTTCTCGGGGTGACCTCTACTACTCGTACCTTCCATCCTGGGTTTATACACTATCAGTAATCCTTTTCTGCTCTATCCTCTCTAGATGCTCAAACCATTTTAACCCCTCTTATATGAACTACACATTTCACTGGGAAGCACTAAACCCTAACACACAAATAACCCGCACGTAGAAGAGAGAAGCTTATGACATTTCGGGCCGACTTGGACCACTGAGCCATTCGATCCAAGTCGGCCAGAAACGTCGTCGTAAGCTATATGCGGGATATTTGTGTATTGTTCCAGTCACGGTATTGTGCCTTTTTTGTTCTTTACTAAATTCTAATGGAATGTAATGTACAAGCGCTCAATCCAAAGAGAAGATAGTTCCAATTCTTTGAAAAGAATAGAGCCCTTCGCTGACATCAAGGGAATTTAAGCTTTAAAACATACCACCCGAGCCTTGCTAAAATGATTCTTGCTAAATATGCCAACCTGGCAATTTATGACAGATGTTTCTGTCCAGGACGGATCGAAACATCGACAACATTTCCGCTCTCAATTGAATTGTTTTTGTCACGATACTGTGACTTTTTAATTGTAATAATTCGTCTCATAAGAACAATAACTTTAAAACATATCCATATGACAGTTTTTTTTTTTTAAGACTGGATGATAATTAACAGTACCGACTGAGAGGCACTACTTATGCAAAACATTCCGGGGGAAGAAATATTAAACCCAAAATGAATTATAAACCTTGTTCCTTTGAAAGACAACTTTTTCCACTCATCCACATAAAATTAAAACCTTTGATATTCACATTTTAAATATCTTTCCCCTCAAAAAAAAAAAAACTCAAGAAAATTTTATATAACTCAAAATACGAAAGGGAAAAAAAATAGGTCCTCTCCTGTACTTAGGTCAGGCAAAACAAAATAAAAGGAAGAAGCTCATCTTCTGTGCTTATCTGTGACAAGACAAAAGGAAAAATGTGCTCTTTGTTTTGTCCTAGAGAAAGGTCGGGCTCCGAGGGGGAAAAAATTGTCCAGGACGTTTCGTCAACAATTCCTGTGCCACTCGGGAAGGAAACCAACGTAAGAGGCACTTTTATGCTTCAATTCATCACTGTAAACGGAAAATATCTTGAAGGAGAAGCAGCGTTGAGGGGAGGGGAGAGGTTGAGGGGAGAGGTTGAGGGGAGAGGTTGAGGGGAGAGGTTTAGAGGGGTGTTAGAGGGGTGGAGGGAAAGGGTGGAGACCTTGGAGTAGAGAGTGTAGGAGTGGAGAATGAAGAGGAGCAGAGAGGAGTGAAGGATTCAAAGACGAGGTGGAGCTTGGTTGTATACTGGAGGGAGGGGTGAAGTGGAGTGTGGAGGGAGAGGTGAAATGGAGAGTGGAGGGGGGATGAAATGCAGTGTGGAGGGAGGGATGAAATGGAGAGTGGACGGAGGGGTGTGCATGGACTGAGGAAAGCCGACTGAAGAGAAGGGGAGTGACACCTAGTGGAGTGCAGGAGGAGTGACGTACTAAAGGGCAGGTGGAGTGAGTGGAGTGTGGACTTTCACTTTGGTTAAGGACTTCAGCGACTACCTTCATTATTTGACCTAGGTTATGTATATTTGCCAAACAACGAACGAGGAGAGTAATTGTGTGTGTGTGTGTGTGTGTGTGTGTGTGTGTGTGTGTGTGTGTGGAGAGAGAGAGAGAGAGAGAGAGAGAGAGAGGGAGGGGGAGCCTTCCAGAAGTTGCAATCTACACAAGCACGCGGTGGTCGAGTTTCAGCGACACTAAATGAATATAAGTGATAGTCCAGATGTCTGGACCCATAAAAAAAAATAAACAGATTACAATTACCTCATTTATTATCTGTATTAGATTCCCTTAACAGTCACAGTTATACAAATGTCAGTTAATAAAAAAATATCTGTAACGTATGAAAGATACCAAACTGCACCTTCATTAACTCTATGTTTTGATACTCGGTACAAGTTAGAGATTGAATCTGATTGCTTCACAATAATAATAATAATAATAATAATAATAATAATAATAATAATAATAATAATAATAATAGAGGTCGGGGCAATGCTCTAAATAATTATTTAACTCTTGCAATGAATTTCAATGTAAACGGAATTTTATGCTTCTATACAGTTTTTTTTTTGGCTGCTCACGCAATTAATTCAATAGGTACGTTTTCACTGAACAAATTATTAAGCCAATACGTAGAGATTGTGAGTTTTTGGTAGCACAAACGCATGTAGGTAAGGATGTGAGAGAGAGAGAGAGAGAGAGAGAGAGAGAGAGAGAGAGAGAGAGAGGAGAGAGAGAGAGAGAGAGAGAGAGAGAGAGAGAAGAGAGAGAGAGAGAGAGAGAGTCATTGTGCAGAAGCATGCACCTCTTGGGCGTGCTCATGTATAAAGGATAAACGAA